AAGGGGTAGGGGGGCCACACCTTGCAGAAGGTGAGCTTGCAGTGGTAGGAGGCGTCGCGGGTGTTGCGGATCAGCACCTCCCCGTAGTGCTCGATCCAGCGGGGCCCGCTCAGCACGTTGTGGATGCACGTGGTCACCTTGTTCCACTCGTAGTGGTCTCCGGTCCTGTGGGCACCACCCTCGTTGGACGGGGAGGGAGGGAGGGCAGGGGGTCCTGGGGGGGCGTGGGGGGCCCACCAGTGGGGCTGTGGTCTCACCTGGGCAGCTGGACATTGACGGTGCCCACGGGGACGATCTCCAGGGATTTGCCCCAGAACTTGTTCTTCCACCTCATGTCTGGGGAGGGGGTGGGAGGAGGTGAGACCTCCCCCTGGTTCCCCCACTCAGGGAGGAGACCTCCCACTGCCCAGCACCCTCCTGGGCGCTCACCTTGCCAGAAGATGAAGTTGTCGGACTCGGCGTGGCAGGCGGAGATGGGAGGGTGGTGGGAGACCTGGAGGGGGACAAGAGGGACCAGCCAGTGTCCCCTCCAGCTCTGTGTCCCTCTCGTACCCTCCCTGTGCCCCCCCCCCCAGTGCCCACCTGCTCGCTGATGAAGCGGAAGCCCCGGTCAGGTCGCACACACTCGTAGGTCTCCCCCAGCACGGGGTTGAAGGGTTTGCTGCCCGCCCGGTAGTAGGTGGAGGCGTAGGCGGACACGGCGAAGGCAGCCACGTACACCTGGCACCACAGGCACCACACTGCTGCCACCACCCTGGGGACAGCCACCCACCTGCCCCGGGGACAGCCACCCACCCCCTGGTATCCCCCCAGCCCTGTGCCCTGCCCTGTTCCCACAGATCCCACGTGCCCCCAAGCTACCCTCAAAGTCCTCCAGTCCTTCCATGTCCCTGAGCTCCCTCGTGTCCCCGAGCCTCCTAAATTCTCAACCTCTCCTGTCCCCCCACGTCCTCGAGCTCCCCTGTGCCCCCTCAGTCCCCTAAAACCTCCCCAAGTCCCTCAGTGTTCTCAAGACCCTCCATGTCCCCTTAGCCCCTCCTGGCCCTAAGCCCTCCTTACCCCCACGTCCCTTGAGTCCCCAATCCCCCCGGTGTCCCCCCGCTCACCAGCCTCTGCCGGGGGTCTCTGGCGCGGCTGGCGCGGTCGAGGAGCGCGCTGTACTCCAGCTCCTCACAGAGCCGCTGCAGCGTGTTCAGCGGCTCGTTGAGCTGCACGGGCAGCGCCACGCGGGACAGGTCCTTGCCCACGCTGCTCCGCAGGAGCCCCCACAGGCTCACGTCCCCCGACGGCGCGGGGGGCGCGGGCAGCCGGCTCCTCCGCTGCGGGTCTGGCCCTGGCAGCTCCACCGGCGGCGGTGGCGGCTCCGATGGTGCCCCCGGGCGCTCCACTCCTGCCGGGCACCGGGCGGTGGAATGGCACCCTCTCCTAGCCCCTGTGTCCCCCTCCCCGGTGCTCTCCCTCCCCGTACCTGTCGGGGGGCGGCCCGGCCCCCCCGGCTCGGTGCCCTCCTCGCAGACGCTGGTGGGGGCCTCGCTGACGCACGACTCGTCGTCCGAGGGCTGAGGGGGTGCAGGGACTGTCGGTGGCTTCGGGGGTCCCGGGGGAATTGGGGGGTCCCCCACAGCGGGGGTGGAAGGGGGGCTAGTGGGAAGGGCTTCCCCTGAAGGATGGGATGAGAGCCGGGATCCTGGGATGGGTGGGGTGTGGTGGGATGGGGAGGGGGTGGTGCCAGTGGGGCTCTGGCAGCACCTGGCCCCCGCCACCGGGCTCAGAGAGAGCAGAGACCCTGAACGGGGGGAGCCGGGGGGCTGCAGGGGGCTAGAGGGGATACAGGGGTTGGGAGCACTACGGGGAGCGGCTAATGAGGTGGGACAGGGGAGAGAGAGGGCAGAGATGAACCCAGAGCAGCGAGAGGTGGCAGGGGGGTCCACAGAGCCCCCCACCAGCAGAGCCCACACACCAGCAGAGCCCACCCCAAGCCCCCCAACCTCATTCTCGGAGGAACTGGCGGACAGGAAGACCTCGCAGGCGTCGAAGAACTCGGTGTGGGAGTCAGCCAGCGAGACGATGCTGCGGTTGGAGAGCTGCTGCTCCCGGCCCTTGGCGGGCAGCGCATCGGGCTGCGGGGACAGCCACAGCCTCAGCCCAGCCCCTCAGCCTGGGGGGACCACCCAGACCCCCACCCCACCCCATCCCACTCCCCTGACCTCATCAGAGTGCAGTGAGGCGAAGGAATCCAGGGTGGTGTCGGAGGAGACGGAGAGGGAGTGGAAGCGGCGCAGGGCGGGCTGTGGAGGGAGGGGGAGGCTGAGCCAACCCCCCCCCCGAATGTTCCCCTCCAGCCAGGACGGGGCTGACAGTCAGGGGGGTCACCAGCCCAGTGCCAGGCTGAGACCCCCCTGCACCCACAGCACCCCAAAAGCAACACCCCCAGCCCCGCCCCGAGCAGGGCAGCACTGCCCGGCCCCACTCGTCGCTCACCGCGGCGCTGCCGGGGCGCGGGGCTGGGCCCTGCCGGTCCAGCGCCTGCTGCATCTCCTCCAGACGGGCCCTCTCGGCCACCAGCACGGCCACCACGCTGCTGAGCGAGCCGTGCACTGCCGGGGGACACGGGCAGGGGTCAGGCTGTGCCATGGCACCCCGACACCCACCAGGACCCCCCGGCGGGGCTGAGCCCCATCCCACCTTTCTGGGCCAGCACCCAGAAGCTGCGCTGCAGCTGCGTGTACTCCGGGGGGAGGCCGAAGGGCAGCTGGCTCTGCGAGGACTCCAGGTAGCGGGACAGGTTGGGGACGGAGCCGTGCAGGCGGCCCACCTTGGGGGGGACACAAGGGTCAGCGAGGTGCTGGGGATTGGGGGGATCCATCCCCCCCCCCAGCAGCAGCAGCAGCAGCAGCAGAGCTCGGTGGGATTCCAGCTCACCCTCACCCTGCCGATGGTGTCGTCCTTGGCAAAGCTCTGGGTGCACCAGATCTTGGTGGTCCTCCGGCCCTTCTTCGGCCTCTCCGTGGCGGCCGAGGGCTGTGGGGGAGAGGAGGGGGCTGGAGCCGGACCCTCCCTAGGAAAGGGGGGGATGCTCAGACCCCACACTCGCCGCCGTCCCTGCTCACCTGGCTGCCGGAGATGAGTGGGGCTGAGGGGATGCGGTGCAGGGCCTCCAGGTTCTGGAGCATCCCCGTCAGCTCCTGCAGCTTGGCCTGGCACTCCGACAGCTCTGCCAGGGGCACAGGGTCAGGGAGGGGGCACAGGGTCAGGGAGGGGGCACAGGGCACCCCCCTTGCCCTGCACAGCCCTTCCCACCCCGCTCACCGGCCGAGCAGCGCTCCAGCCCCTCGCTGTCCTTCAGCCAGGCGTTCACCTTGTCCCGGGAGCTGGTCAGCGTGGACAGGGCGGGGGCACTGCCCGAGGGCAAGATCCGCGTCCACTGGCCCTGCAAGCAGGGAAAAGGGGGCACTGCCATCAGGAGCCCCCTGCCCAGACCCTGCTTCGTGCTGTCACCTTGAAGTGTCACCCACCTGGGAGCTGGTGGGGGTCCTGCCCCCAGGACCCCCCATGGGACAGGGCTTGTCCCCATGGTGGTGGGTGCAGAGGCTGCTCACCCAGCTGGAGAACAGCTCCGGGGACTTGATCTGGGGGACACAGGTGAGTTGGGGGGGGTAGAACCTGACAAAACCAACTCTGTTTCCAGCCCTACCCCGGCCCCCAGTGGCACCTTGAGGTGGTAAATGTTCTCCTCCGTGTCCAGGTCGACCCTCTGCGCCTTCTTGTTGACGGACATGACGGACTGACGGACGTCGATGGCACCGTGCAGTTTGCCCTTGAGGACCTGGGGGAGCCCGGGGACGCCTGTCAGTGGGAAGACCCCCCATTCTCAGGGGGGCCAAGGGGGTCTCCCCTGCCCTGGGCCCACAGGGCACAGCCCGGGCACACACTCACGTCCTGGCGGGTGGTGGAGTATTTCAGGATCCCGTTTTCCAGCACAAAGTACCGCTGGGGATGGAGAGGGAAGGTTTTTGTGGGGGGAGGAGAGAGCAGTCCCTGCAGCCCCAATTCCCAGGGGTCCAGATCGCGCCAGGACCAGTGACGGGTGACGGCTCCTGGTGCCAGCTCTGCCTGTTACCTTGTGCCAACCCTTCAAGGGCCATTTCCTCTTCTTGAGCAGGTACCCCTCGTGCCTCTGCAGCTCCTGCCCTGGGCTGCCCCGTGCACGAGGCTCCTCCACCACCTCCCAGCTCTCCGAGCCCTGCAGGGATGGGGGTCAGCCTGGGGATCACACTGAGAAACCCCCCGAGGCCTCCCAGCACCCCCGGTCAACCCATGGGCACCACAGAGCCCCCCCCAAACCCCTCCAACCTGCTGGACGCTGCTGTGCTTGGAAGACACGGTGCTGTTGGAGCGGGACAGGGCTCTTTTCGGGGAGGACGGGTCCTTCTCGTGGCTGCCCATGGCTGTTGAGCAGGGGGGGCCGAGCTGAGCCCCCCCTCCTGTCCGTCCTGCGGGGACAGGGGTCCGAGCTCGGCCCTCACGGTGGGAGCCGCTGCCAGGAGGGGATGGCAGGTCAGGGAGCTCAGGGGGGGCTTCTGCACCCTCCTCAGCCCAGCCCTTGCGGGGTCCAGGGGTGGTGGGGGTCTCCCTGCCCCCGAGGAGCGGGCAGTCCTGCATGTCACCACCGCGGGCACCCAGAAACTTCTGCGTGACACGGAGCCTTTGACCCCCCCCCCGGCCTTATCTCGGCTCCGCCGCCCGCTCCGGGTTCAGAGTCCAGCCCCGACGCCCCATGGACTGGGTACCACGGGGCAACCCCACAGCGGGGGCACAGCCAGGAGGGTGACACCGGTACAAAGACCGGGATCAACCCCGCTCCGTCCTGGCACCCCCGAGCCAGGCCATGACCCCTCCAAACCCCGGCAGAGCGTTCCCTTTGCCCTTCCCGGTTACTGAGCCACAGGGAAGTTTCCCCCCGCCCTGCCATCCCCCCTGGCGCTGTCCCTGACAGGGCACCCTGTCCTGGCTGCTGCTGATCCTGGGATAACCCTGGGAGGGCGGCCAAGCCCCGGTGCTGGAGACCACCGTGGCACCGATAGCTGCGGCACCGAGAGACAACCACGGCACCGAGAGATAACCACGGCACCGAGAGATAACCACGGCACCGAGAGACAACCACGGCACCGAGAGATAATCACGGCACCGAGAGATAACCACGGCACCGCTGACCGCCGCTCCGCGCCCCCCAGCTCGGAGGGGAGGACACCGGGGGTCTCCCCCGCAGCTCCATCCCCTCCCCTGCCCAGCCCCGCAGGTGCTGCGGGAGGTCAGCACCGACCCCTCGCACCGCACCGGGGCCGTGCCGGTGCCCCCGGGGGTCTCCATCCCCGGTGCCACCCCCGGGGCTCACCTGGGCGGGCGGCGGGCGGGCGGCGGGGGCCGGTCGCATCCTGCCCGCTGGCAGCAGGAAGCGGAACACGGAGGGCGGTGCGGAGCCGCTCGGCTCTGCCCCCTGCTCCGTGGAGGACCGGAGCCGCCGGGATCGCCGGGAGCCGCCGGGATCGCCGGGACACAGAGCGCGGGCAGAGCCGCGCTCCCCGCACGGGACCGGGGCAGCTCCGGTCGCGGACCCCCGGAGTTCCCACCCGGGACCAGCCCGCGGGAAAAGGGGCGGCCCACGAGGGGTTGGGGGGGTCCCCGGGAGAGGCAGCACTACGCGGGGGTCCCGGGGATCACCAATCCACGGGGTTCTTGGGGCTGAGCATCCCAGGAGGGTCTCAGGGATCACCACCCCACAGAGATCCCACGGACCACCAATCCAAGGGGGTCCCCAGGGATCACCATTCCAAGGGGGTCCCAGGGCATTCCCACCCCAGGATTTCCCTCACCCACCCCTCCCCAGCTCTGTTTCCCTCTGCTCCATCAGACCCCCCCAAACAGCCTTCCCCCCTCGAGAAGCAGGAACCGCCCCCCCAATCCCCCCCCCCAAATCCCAGAGAGGCTTTGGCATCTCCACACGGACACTTTAATGGGCACGACACTGGATCAGTGTTACAGCACATTCCCCCTCATTCTCGTTCCGGGGGGCTTGGAGTGCTCAAGACCCTCCTGTGGGGCTCTCCCGTGCTCCTCCTCCTCCTCTGGCCAATCCTGAGACCTTCCATCACACCCCCAGCATATTCCCAGGAATATTCCCAAAAAGGAAGGGCCAGGGCTCCCCCCTGGGACTGGGGGGCTGCAGGACCCTCAGTCCAGCCCCAGTGCCAAAACTCCAATCCCTGATCCACCCCCCCTGCACAGCCAGGGAAGGAGCAGATTCCCAGGGCCCAGAGCCAGTGATTCCCTGTGCCCTGGGGGGCTCCCTAGGGGCTCCCTGTGTCCTGCAGCTGGAGAAGGAGCCAATTCCCAGGGTCCAGCATCGGTGATTCCCTGTGTTCTAGTCTGGAGGGGTCTCCCTGGGACCCCCCATGTCCCGCAGCCGGGGAAGGAGCCAATTCCCACGGTCTGATCTCCCACATTCCAGGCTGGGGGGATGCTCCCCAGGTTACCCCCCGTGTCCCACATCCAGGGAAGCAGCCAGTTCCCAGGTGCCAGCCTTTCCCTGTGCCCTGAGAGGCTCCCACAGCGGGGGAAGGAGCCGGTCCCAGGGCCCTGCATCAATGGTTCCCTTTTCCCTGCTCCTGAGGGGGCTCCCCAGGCGCCCCCGCCTCCCGGAGCCGGCGGATGTGCTCATCCAGGAGCGCTGTGAGGAGGGAAGGGCCACGCTGGAGCAGGGATGAGGTCTGGGAGGGCAGGAGGGCCAGGGCTCCCACCGTCTGCCCCTGGGAGGCCTCCAGGGACGGCAGCTGGGCAAAGTTTTCCACTCCCTGCCGGCTCAGGATTGTGTCGTCGATGCAGGCGCCTGGGAAGGAGCAAGATATGGGATAACAGAGCGCTTCCTGAATGAACTGTTCGCTCCTTCGGGCTCCCACTCTTCATCCCATCCCATCCATCAGCGTGGGCCGTCATTCCCAGCCCTGGAGGAGTGCCCCCCCCCAAGCCCAGCACTGGGATTTGGGGAGCAGGGAATGCCAGGATTTGGGGAGCAGGGAATGCCCTCACCCAGGAGGTTGACCTGAGGAATTCCCTTCAGCACCCGCAGCATCTCCCTGGCCCGTGTCTCCGGGCTCACCAGCAGGATGTTGCGGCACACGAAGAGCGGGAGGAGGTTCCTGTACTTGGACTGCTCCAGCACCGGCCGGACAATCTGGAAAACCCCTTGGAATGACGTCTGGAGCAGCCCAGGGCGTGCCTGTGCCCCTCCACCTTCCTGCCAGGCTCAGGCCCCACCTCGTTGAGGACGAACTTGACCTCGATGTTGTGCCTGCGCAGGTAGTGGCGCATGGTGGCCACGTCCTCGTCCGGCATGGAATTGTACTGGCACACGGCCACCATGCGGCTGCTCCGGAACGCCTGCTCCACCTGCCGCCGCAGCAGCCGCACGTAGCCGTCCTCCTGGCCAGGGGAACACAGGGATACAGGGATGCAGGGAGCAGGGAACGGCTGCTGGGACACCCCCCACGGACACCCAGCAGCTCCTGGTGGGAGGTGATCCCATGGAACTCGAGGTGCTCCCATGGATCAGGAGATGTTTTTGTGGATCTCGAGATGGACAGGGACTCACCTGGTGTTCCAGGATCAAGGGAATCCCCCCTCCCCAGGCCCCGTGGACCCCTCCTCACCTCCTGGGGCTGGTCCCTGGGCGCAGGGAGGCAGCGGGGGGGCACGGCGGGCCGGGGGGCCACGTACTCGGTGACGGCCATCAGCTTCTGCCGCTGGAAGTGCATGGCCTTCCAGTGCCGCGTCACCGCCTTGGAGCCGCGCCGGACCAGCCGCAGCGCGGGCAGCCAGCCTGGGGGGAGCGGGGCTGGGCCGGGGCAACCTGCACCGGCCCTTCCCATGCCCGGCCCCTGCCCCATTCCCATTCCTGCTCCCAGCCCCTGCCCTATTCCCAGCCCCTGCCCCATTCCCACTCCCTGCCCCATTCCCGATCTGTGCCCCAGTCCAGGTTTCTGTTCCCCTGTGCCTCTTCCTGTCCCACTCCCATTCCAGTTCCCTGCCCCATTCCCAATCCTGATTCCTGCCCCGTTCCAGTTCCCTGCCCCATTCCCAATCCTGATTCCTGCCCCGTTCCAATTCCCTGCCGTATTCCCGGTCCCTGTCCCTGCCTCGGTCCCTGTCCCATTCCCACTCCCATTTCCAGCCCCATTCCCGTTTCCATTCCCTGCCCTATTCCCATTGCCATTCCTGGCCCCGTTCCCGGTCCCTGCCCCATACCCGATCCCTGTCCCGCTTCCATTCCCAGCCCCACTCCTGTTCCCATTCCCTGTCCCAGTCCCGTTCCAATTCCCTGCCCCACTCCCAGCCCCGTTCCCGTTCCCATTCCCCTTCCCTGCCCCATTCCCGATCCCGGTCCCTTTCCCACTCCCGTTCCCATTCTCCTTCCCTGCCCCATTCCCGTTCCCATTCCCGCACCATGCTCCGTTCCGTTCCCATTCCCAGCCCCTTTCCCGCTCCCATTCCCCTTCCCTGCCCCATTCCCGCTCCGTGCCCCATCCCGTTCCCATTCCCAGCCCCTTTCCCGCTCCCGTTCCCATTCCCATTCCCACTCCCGTCCCCATTCCCTCACCTCGCAGCCACCCCGTGCCCCCACTCAGCGCCGCCATCTTGGCCGTGCCTCGCAGGGCCCTGTGGGAAGCTGGAGGCCCGCGCGCTTCCTGTGTGCCCGTCTCCATGGCAACGGCATCGCCACAGCGCGGCCTGCGCGGCCCGGGGGTCCCTGAGCCCCAAACCTGAGCCCCCGAACCCCCCTGGGACCGGTCCCGGGGAGGGTGAGCCCCCCAGGAGTCTCTGAGATCCCCAGGCTGGGGATCCTGGTCCCCGTGATCCCCCAGCTCCACTTCAGTGATTCCACTGCCCCCTGGATACGGGGACTCTGTCCCACCTGGGGATCCCAGCTCTGATTCCCTGCTATCCCAACACTCCTGTCCCCACTGACCCCTCCCGTTCTGCAGGTTTCTGCCCCCCCCTTTCCCTCAGACCTTTCCCCTTTCAGGGCCCCCCGACACCTACCCAAGGGCACGAGGAGGGGACAAGGACTCCCCAGGCCACCCCCTGCCATGGCTGAGCAGGAGGAGACTCTTTGTGGGGGTGAGAGAGAATTGTGGGGTGGGGGCTTCTCCCAGGCAGGGAGGGGCTGGGGGGGGCTGCACCCCCTGGCCTGGACCCTCACCCTGATATCCCACAGACCGTGAGGGGACATCCCCAGGAGTGACTCTCAGCGACAGCCTCATCCTTGCCAGGAGCGGGTGAGGACCCCCCGGACCTTGGGCTGGCAGGGAGGGGGCTCTGGGCACCCCAAAGACCCCCCACCCCCCCATCATCTTCCTCCAGATCCACGGAGCTGCTGCCCCTCTCCACCATCCGCCTGGACCGGGAGAACATCTCCTCCATCGGGAAGCTCCGGGATCAGGGAGGGATCCACAGCCTCTACCTGCAGCAGGTACGGAGCTGTGGGGCAGCTGAGACCAGCCCTGGGCCTTGGGGGGGGGACACAAACCCCCCAGATCTGTCCTGTCTCCCCTCCCCAAAATCCAGAGGGAAAGGAAAAGAGTTTCCCTCCTATCTGATACCAATCCCACTGGAATTCCAGTGAGGGTCTGGGATCAGCCACTTGGTGTTTCCAAACCCACACGAGGAGCCTCAGGGTCCTCCAGAATTTTGGGGTCTCTCCATGTCCTCAACCCCCAGGACAATCCCAAAATCCCAAACTGTTTCACGCCATGGAAAAAACAAGTTGTTATATATATTTTTTCCTATTTTCTAATTTATTTTCCATTTTCTATTTTTACTTTCCAGAACAAAATCGAGAGGATCGAGAATTTGGGCTGTTTTCCCAACCTGAGGTACAGCAGCTCCTGCTCCCAGGGAAATGGCTTTCCACGGGCTCCCACCTTCCCTTGGCCAGTGAAGAGGCTCAAATTCCAGCCCGTGGGAGCTGTGACATCCCCCCCCTCACCCTGCCTGTGCTCTCCAGGTTCCTCTGCCTGGCTGGAAACCGCATCCAGAGGGTGGAGAACCTGCAGCCCCTGCCTCACCTGCGTGCCCTGGACCTGTCCCACAACCACATCCAGGTGCTGGACACAGGTGGGAAGCAGGAAGGGATCCTGGGGGCTGCCAGTGTGTGTGTGTGTGTGTGTGGAATATCCATTCCCACCTTCCCTGCCTCAGTTTTCCCAGTTCTGAGGTGTCAGGGCTGCTCTGGGAGTCGCCTTGGGAGTGGGTGAAGAGCTGTGGGAGTTTGGGGGAGCAGGAATTTGGCTGGGGGGTGGGGTGGGGGGCTCAGGTCCCATTTCAGCACCTTTTGTGCTTCCTTTTGTCCTGGCAGAGGAGCTGCCCCGGGGCCTTCAAATCCTGGATTTAACAGGGAACGAGTGCACCCGCCAGCACGGATACAGGTGAGTCAGGGGGAGAGGAAGGAGAGAACAAACCCCTCCCAAAAAACCATGGGAGCCTCTCGGCAGGGAGGCTCCAAACCAGGAGAAGCTTTGGAGTGACCTAATTGTGGTCAAAGATGGACAGAGACTGTGGACAAGGGCCTGGAGTGACAGGACAAGGGGAATGGCTTCCAACTGCCAGAGGGGTAGGTGGGATGTTGGGAAGGAATTCTCCCCTGGGAGGGTGGGGAGAGGCTGGGATGGATTTCCCAGAGAAGCTGTGGCTGCCCCAGCCCTGGAAGTGTCCAAGGCCAGGTTGGACAGGGCTTGGAGCATCCTGGGCTAGTGGAAGGTGTCCCTGCCCATGGCAGGGGGTGGCACTGGGTGGTCTTTGGGATCCCTTGCAACCCAAACCTTTCCATGAGACATCAGATACAAACACCCAGGCCCAGGGATGTGAATCCCTGCCCTGTGCCCAGGCTGGGGGTGGGCTGTGCAGGGGGGACATGGTGCCAGGGGGGTCGGGGCCACCTCAGATGGGGGAGACATTGGCTCTTCCCTCATTTTTCCCAGGGAGCTGGTGTTGGGAGCGCTGCCCCACCTCCTGCAGCTGGATGCCCAGCCCCTCCATGGCAAGCAAGAGGAGGGAGGAGGCTCTTCCCATGGTGAGGATGAGGATGATGAGCTGCTCCCCAAGCCCAGCGGCCCTTTCACCGTGGACAAAGGTGCCCAGGGGGTGGAAGGGGACACGTGGCACTCCTGGGGACAGGGGTGGCAGTGCCACATCCCCCCTAATCCTCCTCCCTCCTCGCATCCCTGGCAGGTTTCTTCTTGGATCTGCGCCGGGAGCTGGCCGGGCGCTCCCAGCGCAGGCGGAGGGAGGTGCTGGAGGAGCACCGGGCGCGGATGGAGGAGCTGCAGGAACGCCGGGATCTGCTGCTGAGCCCGGATCGGGATGGAGGCCCCGGCCCCGCTGCCCCGCAGCCCCTGCAGGGCCACCCCCAGCCCCGGGCTCAGCCAGGGACACCCCTCCTGGGATCCAGCAGGTCCCAGCGAGCTCCTGGTGGCGTCCAGTCCCGGAGCAAAGCTCTGGAGAAGGAGGCTGGTGCCAAAGGGGCAGGGAAAAAGCAGTTATCCCAAATATCCCGTGGCAGCGCGGCACCGCGCGGCCAGGAATAAAGGTTTTATTCCCACCCAAATCCATATGGATGCCATGGATCCCCCACCCTGCAGCCATCCCGGGGGCCTGGCACAGGCAGGGCTCCAAATCCCATCCCATATCCCTCTCCTTCCCCCTGCACCTCATTCCAGGCCATGGGCACATCTCAGTGCTTTTCTCCAGGGTAAACTGGGGGCTGGAGGTTCCACACCCCCAGGCAGGGCTGGGGGAGGTGGGGAGCCAGGGCTGGACACCAGGAATGTTTTCTCATTCCCTACCCAGGTGCAATTCCAGGGGGGAAGCCGAGCCCACCCACCTGTGTGGGGTTTATGTGTAAAACTTCAGCTCTGCCTCCACGCAGTCAAAGAAGAGGTCAGCCAGTTCCTCTGGGTGGGGGGTCTCTGTCCCCTCCAGCAGTGCCTTCATCCCCTCCAGGCCCTGCTTCTCCAGCTCCTGCAGCGTCTCCAGGAGCTTCTGGCCCCACTCCTGGTGGGATCGGGGAGGGAGGAGAGCTCAGGGAACGTGATCCTCATCACGGGGGGCAGCGTGGGGAGGGCTCTGCGGGGTCTGCGCTACCTGGTCCTGCTCCATGAGCTCCAGGGCTGCCTGGTGCCGGCGGTACAGCTCGTGCCGCCGATCCACCGAGCTCTGGAACCGCGGGATCTGCTTGGCAGGGTCCTGGGGGAAGGTCGGGGACCTCACCTGCGGCACGGGCTTGACGCCAGCCACGAACACAAAGGGCTTGAAGACGGACCTGGAGGAGGGGAGCCCCAGCAGGGGGGAGAATGGCGGCTGCTTCCCGGGAACGCCTGGCCCAGGAGCAGGGCTGGGATCCCCTGGAGGCCTCACCTGGAGGGGTCGGGGGTGGCGGTGAAGAAGTGCACGCAGGGCAGGGCGGGGTCGCGGGGCAGCACGGACACCATGCTGCCCGCCGTGCGGAACCCCTCCGAGTCCACGCAGATCCCGCTGCCCTTGTCCCGCAGGATGGACATCAGCGTCTCCGCCGTGATGTGACCTGGCGGGGCAGGCAGGGACACGGCACTGCTGTCCCCGTCCCTGTCACTGTCATTGTCCCCATCCCTGTCCTACCCCAGTCCCTGTCCTTGTTGTGTACTCGTCCCTGTCCTCTCCCCATCCCTGTCCTATGCCGGTCCCTGTCCTTGTCCTGTTCTAGCTCCTGTTCCTGTCCTGTCCTTCTCCCTGTCCCCCTCCCTTCCCCTGTCCTGTACCTCCCCCTGCACCTTCTCTGTCGCCCTCCCTTCCCCTGTCCTGCCCCCATCCCTGTCACCTTCGTGCTGCCTCAGCAGCTCCCTCCCCGCTCGGAAGCGGGCCTTGGCAGCCTCCATGCGCGGGGGCTGCTGCTCCAGGGAGAAAACCTGGGCGAAGCTGAACTCGCCGTGCCCGCTCCACCAGCCCTGGCTCCGTGCCCGCTGCCGCAGCCCCGCGTGCTCCGCCGTGATCTCGCTGCCGATGCTCAGCTGGTTGGAGATGTTGCGGCTTCCCTCTATGACAGGGGGGGTCAGCTGGGGGCTGGCAGGGGCAGGCAGCTCCCCGTGCTCCCAGCACAGCCAGCGCCCACTCACCGGTGATCCGCTGGGCCGCCCAGTAGCGCCCGGCGGTCTCCAGCACCCAGGCCTCGGTGCGGTCGGCCAGCAGGAAGGTGTTGTGGTACACGAAGGGCACCGGCTCCTCCTTGCAGCTCCCGCCCTGCCCATAACGCTCCAGCAGCGCCGTCATCACCTCCAGGGCCTCCCGGGCCGAGCTGCCCCGCTCCAGACCCAGCCTGTGCCGGGCAGTGCCCATCAGCCGGCGCCAGGAGCCGGGGCGGGAGGGACGTGGCGCTGTTCTCACCTCTCCAGGTCCACCCTCACCTTCCCTGGCCCACCCTCACCTCCCCGGGTCCATCCTCACCTCACCAGGTCCATGCCCAGCAGCGCCTCGTCCTCGCCCAGGGGCTCGCGGGTCCACACGCCCTCGTTACCCACGCACACGCCGTGCTCGTTGGCGCCCATCTCGGCGCCCCAGAGCCAGGCGGGGCGGCTCAGCACCACAGCGTGGGTGTGCTCTGCCTGCTCCACCTCCAGGTATGTGCACTGTGGGGAGGACACGGTGGGGGGCTGGTACCTGGAGCACTCAGGGCACCTGTCCCCTGCAGCCACCCTGGCCCAGGCAGGTGCACCCCGGGGGGGAGGACACATGGATGGCCTCAGATCCCACCCACCTGCAGCCACCCTGGTCACAGCACAGTCTCACCTGGACTTTGTCCCCGGGCTGGTGGGTGGCAGCGGGGACATAGACGATCTCCTGGACCTCGTGGCGCGGGCGGTCGGCGTTCTTGGCGAAGATGACGGCGGGGGACGCGGTGTGGGGGGGCAGGGCCACGAAGCAGTCGCAGGACGAGGGAACAGGACCCTGCCCCGCCATCCTAAACCCGGCAGAGAGGAGGGGGGTAGGGGGGAGACACCGAGGGGATGTCACCCCCTTGTGCCTGTCCTGGATGTGTCCCCAGGGTCCCTTTGGGGCCGGAATTGGGGGGTCTGTGAGATAACGCCGTCCGTGAAACCGGGGGGACGCATCAGTGACCCCATGGCTGGGTGGGCACTGGGGACACCTCCCCCCCGGGGCCCCTCAGCTCCGCAGCGGCCGGAGACCCCCCCTCCCGGTCACCGGGATCCCCCTGCACCGCCCGCGGACGATACTCCCTCCCGCCCATCCCCGGTAACGCGGGACCCCTGGGACCCTCCATCCCCACGGACCTGCCGCTGCTCCCGCACCGCCGCCGCTGCTCCCGGTCCCGCCCTCCCGGTCCAGCCCCGCACCGCCCGTGCGACGGCGGCGCCCGGTGGTCGGAGGCCGAACGGCGGGGACCGGCACCGGGACAGGCACCGGCACAGACACCGGGACCGCCACCCGCGTGGGATGGAGAGGAAATGGACCCCAAAGAACCCCGGGGATGGGGGTCCCAGTTTTCCCCTTCCCGCAGGGCAGGGACGAGGCACCCGGGTACGAGCTGGGGAGGGTCCCGTGGGGCAGAGCAACTCCCCCTTCTCCGTGGGCAGTGCCCCCGTGGGCATCACTCCGCGTGGGCAGCGCCCCGCCCGCCCCACGCTATGCGGGTGGACCTGCCGGGCAGCGCCCTGCCCGCAGGAGGGGTGCGGGATGGGACCACTGGCTGTGCAGCGATGATTTGGGGCTGCAGTGTCAGCCCCCTGGGTGCTTTGGCAGGGATGCTTTGGATTTGGGGTGCCAGGCCCCTTGGGTCCCTCGGATGATTTGAGGCCACAGTGTCGGACCCCTGGGTGTCTTGGTGGGGATGGGTGGGGGGTCTTGGTATTGAACCCTAAATCCCTCGGTAGGGATGTTTTCGGGCCGCAGATCAGACCCCCGTGTCTCTTGGCAGGGAAGGAGCCGGGAGAACCGGAGCGTGGAAAACACGTGGCGTTTATTTCAGTACAAAAACCCCAACCCACAGTCCCGCAGCCTCTTCACAGCACAAACACTCCCCTCGCCGGGCGGGGGGCACCCCTTTGCCCCGGGGCTGCAGCCCCCACTCGAGCCACCCCGCTCCTCCCACCCCGGCCCCCGGTGCCGGTCCCTCGGTCCCTCCCTGCCCCGGGGAGGCGGCCCCGGGGGTGGGGGACGCGGCGGTTCGGGGCGCGGGGCCGGGATCCCCACGCCGCAGCAGGCTGGACTGGTTTCCCGGCCGCCGGCCCTCCCCACCCGGTTTTACAGCCTTCATTGCCCCATCGCGGCAGGCAGAGAGCCCCGGGGGTGCGGGGGCTGAGCACACCTGGGGGGGTACGGCACACCTGAGGGGTGCACGGCACGCCTGAGGGGGGCACAGCACACCTGGGGGGGGCACAGCACACCTGGGGGGGGCACAGCACACCTGGGACCTCTCCTCGCAGCCCCCCCCTCGGCTCTGAGACAGGTGAGGCTGAACCCCGAGTCCCGGCGTCACAGTGGGACTCCCTGCTCGGCGGTTCCCTCCCCAGCCCACCTTTGGGGTGCCCCTGCTGTAGCCCCCCCCCTTCCCCCCAAAATCTGCTCCGGTGGCTGCAGCACGGGGGCCCCAACAGGCCAGAGCCCCCCCGGCTGCTGCCGGAGCCACCAAAACCCCACGGGTGCAGTACTGTGGCACCTTGGGGAGGGTCCCGAGCCCCCCCTGGGAGATGAAATCCCATCTAGGGGGCACCGCGGGGGAATTTTGTGCTGGAAAAGGCAAATGCCGGAGTCGGGGACGTCCTTCGAGAGCTGCGGGCAGCCCAGGTCACCCGAGTCCTGCAGGGGGACAGTGGTGGCCGTGCCAGGGCTGGGGACACGTCCTCGCAGACCCCCCCAGTGAGACTTCACCTCGTGCTGGGGGGCTCCAGCCCCACGGCTCGTCCCTGCCCCACGGCGCGGGGGGGCTGCTGCCAGCCCCTCCCACATCCATAGGGACAAGGACAGGGGTGGGGACAGGGATGGGACCCTCTGAGGAGTCCGACCCCCCTCCTCCCCATCCCCGCAGCCCACGGCCTGGGACGTTCACTCTGCCCGAGTGGCAAAGCCTGGCTTCACCTTAATAAAATAATAATAATTAATAATAATAATAATTAATAATAATAATAATAAAACAATCAAACCCGAAGGTCTTGGGGCGCCCTCTGGGCACGGACCCCACTCGACTTCACCTCTACCCCTTCCCCCAGACCCTGGGGGGCTCCGAGCCCGGGCAGCCCCCGACACGGCCCCCCCAGAGCCCCCAGGATGGGGCCATGCCGGGAGATCAGCTCCCCCCAAAATTTCCCCCCTCCCCAGACTCCCAACTGGTGTGAACTGGTGTTGGCTGGGGGGCAGAGCCGGGGGGGACCCCCGGGTGCCTCGAGCAGCCAGTGAACCCCCCTCCCACCCCACCCCAGAGCTGCCCTCCCCCCCAAAAAAACCCCCCTCAGGTCCCGGGTTCAGCGTCTCCTTCTGTGTCCGAGGGGTTCTGCCAAAATCGGGGTGTGGGACCCCGAAGGTCTAAAAACCGAGTTTCGTGGACCCCCAGCCAGGGGTGCAGGACAGACACGGGGCCCCCTGGGGACAGGGGGTCGGCCCCAGGGGGGGAAAAATACGGGGTCCCTGCTGGGGGGATGCCCACCGGGAGATAGGGGGACCTGGGAAGGGACAGCTCTGGGGTCCCGGGGGGACAGGCAGCATGCACGGGGGGCAGGCAGAGATTCCCTGGAGATACGGGACCCCGGGGAGGGACGGCTACAGGGCCACGGGGGGACAGGCTGCATGCACGGGGGGGACAGTGGGGGTCCCCTGGGGTGTGGGGTCCCCGAGGGACCCGCAGCACGCACAGGGGGGTGGCTGCTGTCCCCAGGAAGGGACGGCAAGGTGCGGGGACAGGCAGCTCGCCCCGCAGTCCAGGGGTCCGCGGGCAGGGCCGGCCCCGCAGTGCCCGGGGGGGCGGGTGGGGGTCGCGGCCATGCCAGGCCCGAGGAATGCGGCCGCCCCGGCTCTCCCGGGCCCGCGGCCGCCCCGGTGCTCCCCGCCCGGGGCCGCGGCGGTGGGCGTGGGAAAGCTGCGGGTGTGCGCTTGGGCAACGGCCCCGCCACGCGCCCGCGGCCCCCGCAGCCCCCCGAGGCTCACATTCACGCAGGACTTCTTTGTTTTCCCTGGTTTAGCCTCCATTCGGGCCAAAAAAAAAAACCCGCAAAAAAAAGGTTTCACATCCTCAGGCTCCCGGCCAAGGCGGGGCTCCCAGGGGTGCGGGACCCCACGCCGGCCCAGCATCTCCATCCGGGGCGGGGGGCTGTGGGCAGCCCCCGTCCCGCCCCGCGTGTCCCCCACGTGCCAAAAACTCGTGGAGTGATCAGAAAACGGGGCTGGCACGGGGCCGGGGGGGGCTGAGCCCGCCGTGCCACAGTTTGGAGGGGACCGTGGGGAGGGGGCCGGGGGGCTGCGGCCGCCCTCCCCGAGCGGCGGCTCCCAGGTTTCTCCTCTCCCTTTCTCCTTCTCCTTCCTCCCCTTTGGGCTGGACGTGCCCGGGCAGCGCCCGCTCCTTCGGCTCCCATTGATGTTCCTCCCAAACAGCCCCGCCGCCTGCCAGCAGCCTCCCGAAAAAAAAGATTTGGGAAGCCGGGGGAGGATGGGGGGGGGGGGGGGGGGGGGGGGGGGGGGGGGGGGGGGGGGGGTGTGTGGAGGGTGGGGGGAACCGGGGCGGGAGAGCGGGAGCGGGACAAGTGAAACCGCCTCGGGGCAGCTCCGGCTCCGGCGCTCCCCAAACGCTGCAGCGGGGGCCGGGGCTGTGCCACCAGCCTTGCCCCCCTCCTCCTCGCCACCGCCCCCGGCACAAGGTGCCAGCCCTGCGCCCCCCCCCCCCCCCCCCCCCCCCCCCCCCCCCCCCCCCCCCCCCCCCCCCCCCCCCCCCCCCCCCCCCCCCCCCCCCCCCCCCCCCCCCCCCCCCCCCCCCCCCCCCCCCCCCCCCCCCCCCCAACTCCCTTCGGAGACCGGCCCCGAAGGGTCCCCCCGGTCCTCCCCACCTCCATCCGTGTGTGTCCCCCCCCCCGGGGCTCAGCGGCTCAGTTTGTGGGGGCGGCGGCGTTGCCCCCCTCCGGCTCCCTCTTGCCTCCTCCCTTGGCGGCCGACGGGTCCCCGGCGCCCTTCCCCTCGGGCTCGGCCCCGTCCTTGCCCCCGTCGTGGGTCTTCATGTGCTTGCCCAGGTGGTCGCTGCGCATGAAGACGCGGCCGCAGACGGGGCAGGCGAACTTCTTGGCGCCGGTGTGGGTCTGGAGGTGCCGCTGCAGCTCGTCGGAGCGGGTGAAGCGCTTGCCGCAGAAGAGCCAGTTGCACACGAAGGGCCGGTCGCCGCTGTGCCAGCGCAGGTGGGCTTTCAGGTGGGAGGTCTTGGCGTACGCCTTCCCGCAGCCCGGGATGTGGCAGTTGTGCAAGTGCTTGCGCTTCGCCCCCTCGGGGCACGGCCCCCCCCTCTCGGCCTCCTGGCAGTTGGGGCAGCGACACGCCGCCTGCCCCCCGCCCCTCGGCACGGCCCGCCGGGCGCCTTTGGGACGCCCCCCGCCCTCCGCCTCAGGCCCCCGCGGCTCCGGGGGACCCTCCAGCGCCTTCGCCCCCTCCGCTCCCAGGAGATGCTGCGCCGGCGGCGGCAGGAGGTGGGCGGGGGGCGCGCAGAGCTGGTGCTCACCCCCGGGGCCGTACCCGCCCAGGGCCGGCGGCAGCCCGGGGTGCGCGGGCACCTGCAGCCCCCCGCCCTGCCCGGGGGGCAGCTCCATCCAGCTCGCCCCGGCGTGGAGGTCCCACCAGTTGACGCCCCCTCCTTCTTCGCCGGGGGGGCCGGGGTGGGGGGGCCGAAACCAGGGCTCGTAGGGGTGCGCCATGTCCGGGGGGGCCGGCAGCAGCTTGGCGTAGGCGCCGGGGGCGGCGGGGCCGTCGGGGGGCAGCTCTAACCTCGGGGGGCCATGGGGCTCGTAGGCGCCGGGGGTGGCGAAGGCGGAGTCGTCGGGCCCCGGCAGCGGCAGCTCCGGGGGGGGCAGCGGGGAGGAGAAGTCGGGGGCTCCCGGGGCGGCGGGGCCGTGCGGCTGGAAGGGCTGGAGCGGCTGCAGGTCCAGGTGGGTCGGGGAGGCGCGGGGCGCGTCCGAGGGCTGGGATCCCAGGGAACCGCAGACCGCCGTCAGCATCGCGGGGCGGCGGCGCGCACAGACCTGCGGGGCCGAGGAGGGGTGGGCGGGGAGGGGGGGGAGAGAAGAGGTGTGAGAAGAGGAGGGGGGCACATCTCCGCACCCCCCCACTCCCTCCCCACCCGTG